AAAAGGAGACTCAGCTCAACATGCACACAAGCACTCAGGAGAACAGGTATTAAAATAACCAGAGTGAAGGGGCAACATGCTCACTGTGAATGACAAGTTGCAAGTTAGGAGAGAAAGAAAGCAGACAGTGCTTTGCAAATTCTTTTGGTCTATTCTCATATTCAATGGAAACTAAAGAGGGCTCTCGGGTGCAGACTCTTTCATTGCTGGGCTCAGATTCTTTCCTGTCCCTGTAATCCATCCACATTCAGTGGGTAATCAGAGAAGTGCAGTGGAAGCTGAAGCTGTACCAAAGGTTTTGCCAGCCATCACCATATGTCCACTGAGGGTGCTCAGAGAGAGGCAGTCTAGGTCTACAGATGCTATCTGGGGACTCTCAGCTCAGGTCTTCCCAGTCCCAGGGCTTCTCAACATTGCCAGCCCAAACCTTCAGGTGATCCTCACTTAAGCTGGTCATCCAGATCGACTAAACAGAGCCCTGACAGAACAAGGGAGTTTCCTGCCAAGAATCAGACGTCAACATTTGCCAACCATGAGTAAGGTTAAACAGGAGTTGGTGTGTGATGTTAGAGCACACACAAAAGCAGTCTGATCAGGGTAAGACCACTAAGACCCTCCTTGGGGGTTAATATTTATAAAGAGACAGAGGAAAAACAGAAGATTATTTTGTAGTTTCTGCAGGTTAATATCAGCATCATGAGCAAGGACTTCATTCCACAGCATCGGTGAATAACACAACACAAACGTTCATGCATTTTAATATATCTAAACAAGCTTATTCTGACTGCATTCACACAGTCTCTCTCAGGAGATTAGCAGGAAACAGACCCTTTAACCTTGAGCATACTTGTTTTGCATTGAAGATCCTTTTGCAGCAGGTTTCAAACCAAGGAGCACTATCTGTATAGGAATTCAAAACAACAGGGCCATCTTCACATTCTGGTGCCCAGTCTGGGTCATGCTCCTCATCCCTCACACTCTCTGCTGAGGCTGACAGTTTGGGGAGGAGGATTTTGCAATGTGACCTTTAAACTCACTTAACTGAGGGCATCAAAGAACCAGTGCTCATAATCCCTAAACCTGCTGAAAAAAAATCCCCACTGATGTCAGCAGAAGCTGCAAGTTAATAGCAGCACTTAGAAATGGAGTTAAAGCTCAACACCAAATGATGCTCTCTATGACTAGGATTATGTGCACAACAGACATCAGACAAAATGGGGGAATAACCCTTCCCAGGAGACTGCTAGAGCCAGAACAGAATCCTGCTAAGGATATAAGTCATTGGGGGGAAAAACTGGGGAGTGGAATTGTATTTTGAATCCGCTTCTCGACTCTCTGTAGGTTTTTCCACACACTAGTATTCTCGCAGTGTCATGTCTGACTGGAGTGACAGCTGAGTCAATAATTCACCATGTCTCTAAAACCCCTCATCACATATCAGCTGAGACAAAAAGGTCTGTACTATCTCCAAACCAATTTCGCAGCTGGAACTCTGCTGAGAGAGAGTGTTTGTGGGAGAATGCAGCAGCAAAGCTTAGTGGCAGAATAGCTGTTAAACTCCCCATGCTGGCAGTATAGACAGGGGGACAGGTTTTAAATAACCAGGATGTCCTGCCCCCAGCCCCCACTGTTGACACAGCTGGCCATGTCTGAGCGTGTACTACAAACAACGCAGTGTGCCCAACCAAAACTGCAATGGCGAGAGCGGCAGGTCGGATGAAGCCTGTCTCTAGAATAGTTTATGCAGTAACACCACCAGTATTGCCCCCGCCAGCCTCCCACCCATCCCTTATCTCCACCTAATATTTTCTCCATTTCTAGCTTTTCATTTAGGGATTATATTTCATTCCATTAAGTCACCTTGTGGCCTAGGTGACTAGGCCTTTCTATAACTAAGAAACAGCTAAGATATCAGCAAAGTACTTTGGAGTTTTGACTTGCAACTCCTGCCCTGATCTTTACGCCACACTTCATTTTATGAAATGGACAAGCAGACTGAAAAAGCTGAAAGAATCCCTAATAATATTAACTTCCTGTCACCACCCACAACTAGGCTACCAAAAAAAAAATCCAAACCCCAAAAAACCAAAACCCAACAGAGGCCTTTTTATCCTTCTCTCAGAATGAATGACATATTGCTGTCTCCAAGAGTTTTTCAAGGGGATATAGGTGGTCCAGAAATTTCTAAAATCCTCCTACAAGTCTGTCACATCTGCAAAGCTGGTCAGTTGACAACACTATTTCCCTTCTGACAGCAATACTTGTTGCCTATATTGGCTATAAAACCAGACTGGGAGATTAGGTTGCAGAATCTCCATCTTTAGAGGGTTTTTTGGCTGCACAAAACTACAGCTCACCTCATCTACTGTCACAGAAGACTTGCTTCAAGCAAAAGGGTGGACTAGATGATGCCCAGACCTTCCTCCCAGCCAATATCCTATGACTTCATGGCAGCTGAGGGGAATAGGTCCCCATCAATAGAGAAATCTTAATTTTCTCCTGAGGCTTCTGCAGTCAACAGGCTCTCTTCCCGCTCTTAGATCCGAACCCCTCTTTCCTGCCTCAGTTGGCTTTCAGCAATTGCAGTTTTGAAGTGGGCTTTGCCACTGGGTACCCCCTTGATCTGGGCAGCTCACCAGAAATATCCCAAACGCGCACAGTCTGATCCAAACTGGCTGACACTACCAGGTCCTCAGAGGGGTGAAACTGGGCACACATCACATAGTGGTTGTGTCCTGTCAGCACACTACAACAGAAAGGACAGAAAATACCATATGAATATAAGATATATTAATACACATTACAATCTGCACCAACAGCAGTAAGCTCAGTCTCGGGTAGGATGATGAGGAATACAGGATTGCTAAATAAACGCTACTCTTCACGAGTTAGCATGACTGAACACTGAGCACATCTGTTTTTACATTCAAGGGTCAAATTCTGATGTCAATAACTTCAAAGGCTCAGCACTGACATGTATGATTTTAACCTCAAAAATCTTTCAACCAAACACGTGAATTTACGAATACAAGTCTAGTGGCATCAGAATAAACAAGCAAAAGACAAGACTGACGGAAATATTCATAACTGATATCAGTTCTACTCCTTCAACTAAGCACAGTTTCTGCTTGAAAACAACAGACAGCTCGTCCCCAAACGATGCAGTTATTTTTTAAAGCAACCATTGATTTTACCAAACACAAGTTCTGGACTGCCAGTTCCAAACCCGAATGGTCTGGTCATCAGAAGCACTCAAGATCCAGGGATATTCCTAAAAGACAAAGTATTCTGTATATGAAGTAATACACACCCCAGACATTCCCTCCCTACATGGTATTTTCCAACTGTCCCCAGGTATGACCCTTTTTAAATCTTATTTAAGATCTTGGAGGCGGAATTTATGCCTCTTACACCTCTACAGAAGACCACCATATCTGGAGCGCCCTTATACCAGCAAGACCAGCACAACTTCTTTAGCAAAGGTTCCCAACCAGGGGAACAAAAGAGATTCCCTTTCACACACAAAGGGAGCAGATGCCCATCACTGGGGTAAGGACGAGAGGAGCTTACGTGGTGGAAGAAGGTAGTGCGAATGTAATCCAAGTGCCCGAGCAGAGTGAAGAGACAACGGCGCAATTTGTAATTCCAGACCTGCACAACACAGAAGTAGAACAATGACGGTAGGTGCCGCCGCCTGCTAGATTTTTTGCGTGCATTCTCACGTTTCAGTTCACTGACAAGCCTCTCCTTCCATTTTAAAATGCGTTTCTAATGCAAGCTACAATGAGACTTCAACTCGCTGCAGTTAACTCTAAGGTCCCGGAAACAGGAGAATCGCAATTGCCAAACCCTGTTTCCCTCCCACACACACTCTTTCTCATCTTTTAACCGGTTTCTTTGCACATTCCCTTCCCTGAATGATGCCTTTTAGAGAACAAGAGCTAAAGGGGTAAAATTTTACCTTTATTTTGTAATCATCACCTCCAGAAACAAACAGAGGCTGCTGTTTGTGGAAATCAATACCTCGAACGGGTCCTACAAATAGGAAGAGCAGGTTGGACACAGCAAGATGGCTGACAGCTGAAGCAGTCCCTTGTACCACTTAAAGACTACAACTTGCATTCCTCCTCGCTCCTGTTGCTATTGATAAATTAAGAGCTTCAAAGCAACAATAAAGACTCATGTAACAGTCTGACATCTCACCCCCAAACCCATTCCTTTCCATCAAGGTGCCTGCAGCAACCCACCACAAAACATCCAGGCCCTTCAGATCTGTATTTACAGGTTTATTTTCATACCAAAAATAAAACTACTACCCCACTTTATGCATGTACAAGCAATGTTCAGAGCCAGCAAACTGGCCACAAAACAACACAGGCTAAAACTGAGAGGCTCTGAAGCCAAACAAGCAGAGGCCTCAGTAACACTTCAGCAGAGCCGCCCTTCCTCCTCTCGCACCCCGGTTTTCCTCCACACGCAGGTCTCAACACCTCCCCCCAGCACACTGACCGTCGTGCTCATCGAATTTGTCGATAAGGGTGCACATTCGATAATCCCACAGCTGGATAACGCCATTGTGCAGGCTGGTGAGGATCCACGGCCGCTTGGGGTGAAAGCTAAGCCCTGCCGAGGTACAGAGATGTGACAGCGAAGCCTCCGCGCACTTGGGAGCCCAGAGGCCCAGAGCAGCCCCGGTGGAGCCGTTCGCCCCGTCGCCCGCCCCGCCCCGCTCCGCTCAGGGACTCCAGGGGCGGGTGAGAGCTCCCGGCACGGCCTCCCCAGGAGCTCCCAGAACGGCACAAGCCCGGTCCCGCTATTACCTTTCACCCGGGCCGACTTAGTCTCGAACTTGGTCAGCATCGCCCTCCACCCCGGCCCACGGCAGGGCCACCTCCCCAGCCCTCCACGTCGGCGCCCCGGAAGTGCCCCAGCTAACTTCCGCTTCCGCCACCTCCCCACCATAGAGTGTCAGTCCTCCCGCAGGTGCAGAACGGCTTCCGGTGGCGCTTGTGCGTGGCCGCGGCGGAGGAAGCGGAAGGGCTGGGAAGATGGCGGCGGCGGGGAGAGCCTGGGGCAGCCGGGGGATGGAGGCTGCTGCGGGGAGCTGCCGAGCCCAGCTCCCGGCATGGTGGGGGCTGCTTCTCGCCGTGCTTGCAGCGGGTGAGGCTGACTGGGAGAGGGGCGGGGCAGGGCAGGGCAGGCCTGGCCTCCCCCGGTTTGTGGCCGCTCCGCGACTGAGGCGGAGGGACGGACGGACGGACGGACGGAGGGCGGGCGGGCCGGCCTCGCCTGGCCCCCTTTGAGGTGGCGGCACTGGGACCCCTTGCCTGTCGCCCTCTGAGCTGGGGAGGGGCTCGTCTTCCCTCTCCCTCCCCGAGTTGGGGAGAGCCTTTTGAGATGCGAAGAGCCCCTGGTTTGTCCCCCTCTGAGGTGGGGCTGTGTTTTCTCCCTAGGCTCCTGCCAGGGGAATTCTGTCGAGAGGAAGATCTACATCCCCCTGAACAAAACGGCACCGTGTGTTCGCCTCCTGAATGCCACCCACCAGATCGGCTGCCAGTGTGAGTACAGCTGCGGGGCCCTGGCGCAGCTCCTTGGCATGGTTGTGATGGAGTGTAATGCAGCTCTCCTGTTGGACTTGCCTAGATCAGTATCGCCCTTGTTTTCAGCACTCTTTTCCCTAGTAATGCTGACCTGTTTCTGCTAAACTGAGGAGTGGAGACCTTAGAGAGAGTGTGTTCTTACAGACCTCAAAAATCCCTGCCAAGGCTGAGAGCAGCATTTTGAGCTTTTGCAGTCAGTGCACACACAGGGCAGAACCAAGCCATGGCTTCTAGGGGTACGAGGCAAAGCTGTGAGCACTGCAGAATGCAGTTAGGGGATAACAAAGTATGAGAGGAAGGGAGCAGGAAGTGAAGAAGTGAGAAGGTGATGGCTGAAGGGACTGGGGGGCTTGGCTGAGCTGCTTGCACAATGCTTGTTAACTTTGTAAGGGGTTTTTGTCGTGCTGAAATGGGGAAGGCAGGACCACATGACTGTTAAAATTAAAAGATAGATAAGGGAACCCCATTTAAGCTGGCTGAAGATAGTGTGAGTCAGTGTTCTGCTCATTTCCAGTTCAGTTTTGCCTCCACGGTGAGCTACTCCCTGCAGCAGAGGTTGTCAGCTGCCGCTACAGGGCAGCACAGTTGCACTTGGTGTGTCAGATAACTGAGGGTACAAGGTTCTCTGCCTCCTCTTCCACCCTCTGTGTGAGCCTAGTGTTTGGTCAGACAGCTGTACGCAGTCCTGCCTTCCCAGTCACGGGCAGTTTCTGACAGTGACAGCGGTTACTAACTGTGGGGGTTGACAAAATGCTTGTTTTTACCAGTAGCTTCTTATGAAAGTCCTTTGTCTGTCATCTGTTTTCTTTGGGACGGGGCAAAATGATAAGCAGTGGACCTGCTTTGTTGCTAGTCCCCTTTGCTGCACAATCTTTTGCCCCTTGTGCTCCTCTGGGCCTCGTGCTGAGCTGTCTTTGAGCTCTCAGTTTCTGAATTTGCAATCTTTACTCTTTGCTGAGGGGCAGCACTGAACTGGTGCTGTGACTGTGGTGCTTGAGGCAGGTCCTGTCTCCTCTGTGTGCCTTTCTTCTCAGGGCTTCAGTTTCCTGCTGTCCTTCCTTATTCTCTTCAGTCACAGGAAACTCCTAGTGCTTAGTTAGCTGAAGATCCTTAAATGTTTTCATGTGCTTAAACAAAAGATGCTTTCAAAGCCTGAGTGCTTATTTCTTAATCTATGCTGTTCAGCAATTTTTTCCCCTACTAAAAGCTACTATTCCTTTTTCTGTCCTGCTCTAGCTAAATGGTGCCATTTCACCAAATTGCTTCCTCCAGCCCTCTAATCCCATGAGGTGTTCTTCCCTAAAGCCCTTAGTAACATACTGCTCTGCTATTCCGGGATGGTTTGGGGGTGTGAACGAAGTAGATCACTGTGAAACAGGAAGGGCACACTCTCCTTCCGCAGCCTCCATCAGCGGAGATACGGGGGTAATCCACGTGGTTGAGAAGGAGGAGGACCTGAACTGGGTGCTTGTTGATGGCCCACACCCACCCTATATGATATTGCTCGATGGGAACCTCTTCAACAGGTCAGTCATCATCAGTTTTTATCTTCCCAGGTTGACTGAAGCCCCAAAGACCAATATGGGTCCCTAATCTGGTGATGAAAATGTCATTTTTCAAGTGACAGATGGCAGAATCAGCCCTGACTGCACTGAAGTATAGTGAGGTGGAAACATTTGTGATTTTACTGTGGTTTAGTGCCTGAATTTGCTTCTTCTTAAATGGGCTGCTTTGCTGTTACAAGAGCTCTGCTCTGTGTAAATTCTCATGCCATGTGCATCACTGTAGCAGTTACTAAAGTTCATTAAGCAACATGATTAAGATTGGTCACATCTCTTCCTGGGCAGGAAAGAAGTAGCTCAAGTTTTCTGCTTGTTGCTGTATGGATAATCTTATGCAGTTCTGAGAAGAAAAAGGGACGTGTTGGTTATTCTGATCAAAAGCATCATGACATGCTCAACTGTAATAAGCCAGCATTAGCATGTCTTGGAATTGTAACTCTTCATTAATTAATTCATAATTTCTGTTGTATTTTCTGTCTTCCAGGAGGGTAATGCTGCAGCTGAAGGGAACCTCACGAGTGTCAGGCCTTGCTGTGGCCGTTTCCAAACCTAGCCCTCCCCAGGGATTCTCTCCTGGTTTGAAGTGCCCCAATGATGGGTTTGGTAAGGAAATGTTAAGTCTTTATCCTTGTTAGGAGGAAGAGGAATAATGCCTTTGCATTGTATGGTCAAAGAAAGAAATGCAAAGGATAGCTGAAATTGCAGCTGCACTTTAATGTCAAAATGGTATTTAAGATAACAGGCTCAATATGTTCTTTCAAAGTAGTTGGCATGAACTGGAATCTCATCATTTCTCAGCAAAGGCTGGGACAGGTGTTTAGGGGAAGACTGTTATATAAGCTGGCTAAAACAGCATTAAGTCACTAAAGTGTTAAACCTGACCAAGGGTGGTTGTAACTTCTTTTTCTTTAACGTGAAAGTTGTACTTTGTCCACATGTGATCATTAAAGCATCTTGTGTTTGCATAGATTGAGTGGAGTGTGTGTTAACCTCTCTGTCTGGGCCAATTGCTACTTTTTAAAATTACATTCTGCCTCCCTGAACTCCCCTTGTGGTTTCAGTTAGGTTTTCATTTCACTATTTTTTCATGCAGCAAATTTACTGTATTGCACTTTGAGGGGAGAAATTGCTACACCTTCTGTAGTTTGCACAAAGCTTTCTGCTGTGAAGGATGCCATGTACGCTCCTGAGATGAGTTTAGTGTGCTGGCATTTGTTGTGTCTGCCTTCATGCTGTTTGCACGGTATCTAGGTGTTAAAATGATTGGCACATTACAGATGCCTTAGGGGTGCTTCCAGCACATGATAAGCTCAGAAAATACGGGTTTGTATGTTCCTCCTTTTGAAATATAATGTTTCTCTGTGTGCCTCCTCCGCTCTCTCAGCATGTGATAAATGCTCACTGAGTGCTCATGCCAGCCTCCTGGCATGTGATGGCTTTGAGCATGCATGTTTCTCATTCTCTCTGTGTGACACAGCGCTCTGTCTCTGCCACTCTGCCGCATACAGTGACCAACTCCATCTCTCCAAGCTTTTGTCAGCTGGTTCCTCAGCCCTTAATAGTGCTCATTCTGTATTTGCTGCTATTTTCTCAGCAGGCCCTACCTCTGCTGCAGTCTGTTATTCTCATGCAGGCTCAGATTTGCCCATTTCTTTCTGTTTTCAGGTGTCTATTCCAAAGATTATGGCCCTCAGTTTGCACACTGCAATAAGACTGTGTGGAATCCTGTGGGGAGTGGGCTTTCATATGAGGATTTTGACTTCCCTATTTTTCTCCTTGAAGATGCCAATGAGACACAAGTTATTAAGCAGGTACTGCACTTGCTCAGTGAGTAGGAGAGGGGAACTGCTGCACTATTCAGGAAAGGGGGCAGAAGTTTTGTTTTCTCTCAGCTTAGATGTTGAAATCTACAGTAAAAATGTATGGTCCAATTTTATATGCAGTATACAGTGCTGTTACAGAAAGGCTAAGTTTTGTAATGATTTTTATTTCCATCCAGTGTTATCAAGACCATAATGTTCCTCGTGATGGATCTGGCCCCGAGTACCCTCTCTGTGCCATGCAGCTTTTTTCCCACATGCATGCTGTCACCAGCACGGTTACCTGCATGAGACGCAGCTCCCTCCAAAGCACCTTCAGCATTAATCCAGGTGAGCAGATTCCTCTTTCCTTGTCGTGATGTGGGATAAGGCTGGTGGTAAAAATCCCAGTGGAATACAGTTGTGCAAAAGAAAGAAAATTTTAGAGTTTCTTTAAAGGCTTCCTTGCCAACTGAACCTTTCCAAAATAAACTATTCAAGTGGTAAGGAATTTTTGGCTATGTTTGTCATCAGTTTAGAAAATAATATGTAGAAGAGGTGCTGGCTGAGAAAGGTACCCAATACCTGCTACATAGATCATCAAGAATGGCTCTGAGATTACTGCTCCATTAGACTGTGCGTACATGAATTGAAATCCTGGTCTTGGTGAATGTTTTGCCAGTGACTTTACCCTGATAGACCCACTGATGAGCTACAGCTGACCAGAAAGCTCATTTCTCACTTATCACTGCTGTAGTCTCAAGTAATGTTGCTTCTGCTTCCTAGAGGTTGTATGTGATCCTCTTCTTGATTACAATGTGTGGAGCACCTTGCAACCTATCAATTCCTCTGGAAAAGTTGATCCCAAGAAGGAAGTTGTTATTGTCGCTACGCGAGTAGGTACCTCTTAATCTTGCTTTGTTGAGCATGGATTGGAAGGATTCTGGGAAGACGTGGGCTTAGGGTCTCGTGGGAATAGACTTCTCATATGTTTTTCATTTCTTCCTGTATTCCAGACCTTTTAGCTCTGACTGGCTATTGTGTTTCTACAGGTACAAGCCTTTTAGTTGGTGGGTTTACGTGCTCTTTCAGTATAAGGACATTTGCCTTTTGTTTCTTTCCGTCTTGTTATGTGAGACTTTTTTCAGCATTTTCTTCACTGATGGAACCAGACAAGTAGAAATAGCTAGCGTGTCTGTTATGCTTTCCTAAGATACTTCACATCCTTAAAAAGCATTCCAGAGAAGGAGACGGCATGGTTGGCTCATCTTTATCTTTTTGGGGGGGAGAGGCTGGATCACATGGAGATCTTCTTGTGTGTCAAGCAGTGAGTCAGTGTCAGAGCTGAGAAAGAAGTTCACTTCCACATCTAGCAGTCTGTTTTACAGTCACTTTACACTCTCCAGAGATGCAAGTTCAAAACTCCATTTTGTCACCATCTCAGAGCCTCATGCTGAACAGTGATGCTAGCATTAAAAGTACGGCATGCTTGATAATCCCAGTTTTCAGATCAGTGCTGAGGGGTGGTGGCGGTGGCAGGGCTCTGAGGCCTTAGGACTGCCATGGCAATGCAACTGGTATTTTAAGTTTCATTAGGTGGGGTGCTTTGATTCTTCCCTTGTAAGTAGGATGAGTGGGATAGGAGAGAGGTGATAGATTTGATTTCCCAATACAGTATTCCTCTGTCTATTTGCACATTTCTTACACCTCCTGTTCATGCTTACAGATTGACAGCCATTCCTTCTTCTGGAACATAGCACCTGGAGCAGAGAGTGCTGTCTCTTCTTTTGTGACCCACTTGGCTGCTGCTGAAGCCCTTCATAAAGCATCAGATGTTCATTTGCTGCAAAGGAATATAATGTTCACCTTCTTCCAAGGGGTAAGAGCAGCAGCATCGCTCCACCATTTGGCTTGTTCTAAGATAGCAAATCAGTCCTTGGCTCCCTGCAAATGAACTTTTTCCATACTCTTTGTGCGGAGTCATTTGTCTGCATCCCCACACCATGGTTCTCTCCACTCCCCCAGTGAGAACAGGATCTTAATTGCATTGGGATAACAACAGCAGATGGAGCTTCCACTGGGGCAACGCATATTCTGCCCCACAGTTCATTCTGGATGAATGATTCAAACTTTGCTTTCCCTCCTGTCTCCTCCCATTGTGCCTGTCTTTATGTCTGTTCTCTGCCTCACCCCCGTTCAGGATGAACTGCAATGGCCAGGCTTTAAATTCTGAAATGAAGCCCAGAAAAGGCTAGATTAAAAATATATGTGTTGACAGCAGCAAAATGTAGCTCATTTCTGAGAGCCCAGCACTGGAGTTGGCAGCTGTGGAAAAGCAGAACAAGCATGTAGAGGAGGGACTGATGGCCAACAGCTGATGTTCCCCTCAAGGCATCTACATTGATGGCTTCTTTTGTGCAGCTTTGTGAAACTGGCTCCCACAGCCCCATGCTGTGGCCATGTGATTCCCTTCATTCACCCTCCTCAGCACCGATATCCCTAGTCAGGATTTCCCTGGGGGAGACAGGCATACAGTGCTACGGAGCGGACATTCTCTGTCATGCTCCCGGGATGTAGGAGGAATGATAAGACTTGGCTGTAAATTAGTCAAGGGGGAAGTCTGGTGGCTGGCTGACTTCACTGCCCTTCTTTGTTGTGGGGATTCTCTTCTTGGGGGCACCTATTCTTCCCCAGGCAATGCTCAGCTTTTTGCAGCTCCCATGACAAACTCATTTCTGTCATCTAGCCTTCCCTCCCTTTTTTCCAGGGAAACAGACACCCCTCCTTTCAGGAAAGCTTCAGATGTTTAATTCCTGGAATAGAGAATTGCCCTTTTCCCTGACTTGCTGTCCTCCTTACCAAAAAACAAAGATGATGACTTGTGCCAGAGTAAAGGCTGTATTAATGCCTCTCTGCTGTTACTCACAGAAACAGTATCTTGCTAGATATCAATGCTTACTTAAGTCTAACTTTGCCTCCATGCCTTTCTTGTGTGTGAAATTCAGTAGCTGTCCCCTGGGGTTTTTTGCTCTTTGCCTTCCTTTTTGTCCTTTGCTGCATCCTTTCCTACAATATCTTTGTCTTTGGAGCCAGGCACAATGTAATATTTACTTTGGTCTTTTGGTGTGTGCCAGGCTATGTGAACCTTCAGAAATGCTTGGTGCAGCAGTTGGCCCTCGAACTCCTGGTTTTGTTCCACCTCAGCGCCTCAGATATTGCTGTTAGTTGTGCCAAGCAGCTCTCCGTATGTGATTCATGTATTAATTTTTTTTCTGTTGTAGGAGACCTTTGATTATATTGGCAGCTCACGAATGGTGTATGATATGGAAAAAGACAAGTTTCCTCTCCGCTTGGACAACATTCATTCATTTGTGGAGTTGAATCAGGTGCGGGATAAGTTAGGGAACCTTTTTATTGCCTGTTTCTCTGTGATAATTTAGCTGTGGTTTTCCCAGCTAGCCTTGCACTGTTTTTGATTTTTTTACTTGGACTGGACCTCCCTGCTCTGCAAGACTTAGTGATGTCCAGTCATGTACTTATGGTGGGTTTTTTTTTTGTGAAGGTGGCTCTAAGGAATGACTCAATTCTCTGGATGCATACAGACCCTGTCTCTCGGATGAATGAATCTGTTGAAGTGCAGGTAATAGAAAGCAATCTGTAGTCATTCATCTAACCAAAATGCTGTGGGATCTTTAGCACACTGCAAATGATCAGGATGTTAACCTTTCCAGAGAAATTACACATCCAGAAGAATAGCAGAACAGTGCCATTTTCTCTTCTTTCAGGTTAGAAACTTGCTAGATGTTCTGAGTAATAGCAGCGTGGGAGCAAACGTGACTTTGCAAGAAGCTGGGTATTCGCAGCCTCTTCCCCCATCTTCCTTCCAGCGCTTCCTCCGGGCCCGGCACATCCCTGGAGTGGTCCTAACTGACCACAAGACTGCCTTCCAGAACAGGTACTTTTCCGGGGTCAGTGGACGCAGGCTGGCCCATGGCCGAAGGCAGCAGAGCCGGCAGAGGGCATCTGAGCTCCTGCAACACTTCTGCCAGGGGTGTGCTGCCTAACATACATGTAGAGCGGTAGTCCCCGCGGGGGAGCAGAGGAGCAAACATGTGCCATGGGATTGAACAAGCGCAACATAATTATTCTGACAACCAAAAGAAATCCAGTTTTGTATAGAAAATGTTCCCCACAGCTGGCTGGAAGCCAGAGGTGAGCAAATGGCAACTGAGCGTGCCTAAGCCTCATCTGTTCTTCCAGAAGCTAGCTGACTTTTTTTTTCTTTTTTTTTTTTTTTTTTAGTATAGCTTTCTATTTGTGATGGCAGAAGGCCCCAGGCATTGGAAAGGGCACTTTCATTTACCCCACATGACCCTACTGCAGCACGTTCCTTGGGTATCCCCTGTTCCTCTGCAACTTTGGAAGTGGAAATGTAGGGTAGAGGACAGACATATGTTTCTCCCCTCTTCCCTAAACCCTTCAAATTGTCTCTTTCCCTTCACCTTCTATCCTTTTCTGCTATTTCTGAGGATCTCTGTAGTAATCAAGGGGAAGTAGCTTCCCTTTCACCTCTAAATCTGCACTGCTGTAAAGGGGTGGGAAGAGTTGGGGTGGAGGAAAGTGCAACTCACTGCGGTGTTACCCATCTTTGGACTGGGGGGATTAGTCCCAGACTGGCTGGGAATGTCAGGCGCAAAGACCATGCAGTGGGCTTTCAGCCCAATTCCCAGTTCAGCTGCATGTGCTGCAGATGCCTTGGTGTAAATCTCTCATAGAGTTCACTTGGAATTCTTTGCCGCCTTCAAGATAAGGCATTAATAAAATCCACTGGCACGACTTGCATCAAAAGCCTTCTTCCCAGGAGACCTTCTGCATGGGTTGTCCTTGCCTCAGTTTCTCTACCCATTTAATAGATTGGGCTGTTGTCCACCTGAAAGCTAATCACAGCTTGTAAATTGCTTGGAGATCCTCAGATGGGAGAAGCTGTGGAAGGGCCAAGTTAATTATAAAGCCTCATTAAACGGTTTAAGGAGCGTGTGGCAGGGCAGTGCTTTGGCAGGGCTGTATCTCTGCTCCCAGGAGACTGCTCCCACTGTTTGCTTTAGGCATACTCTGAATTTAATTCCATGCCCTGTGGTTTCTTTCTGCCCCTCCCCAACCTCTGTTTGCCTTCTTTTCAGATACTACCAGAGCATGTATGACACTCCAGAGAACATCCGGATGCAATATCCCGAGGGGCTTAGCCCTGAGGAGACCTTGGAGTATGTCACAGACACAGCTAAGGTTCCTACTTTGCATTTTCTCTAGCTGCTGTATCTGGGGTGGATGGGGCTTTGGGTAAGGGCAGATAGAAGCAGGGTCATGGGAAGACGGGGAAAGCTGTTTCCAAAAAGGGCAGAAAGAAGGAGGGAGTGCTTTGTATAGTGACAAAGGCAATAGGCACTCAAATGCTAGCACGATGTAAGCGTTTTGATGGATGTGTAGATTCTGGCTTGCTCTCATTGCTTGTTTTGCTGGATCTGCCTATCTTGATTAACACAGAGCACTCTTCCTTTGCAGTCCCTGGCAGAAGTTGCCACAGTGGTCGCCCGTGCTCTCTACCGGCTTGCGGGGGGAGCCAACACCACCTCTGCTATTCAGGCAGATCCAAAAACGGTACGAGCAGATGGAATTGAGTCCCTAGCATCTCTTATGAGCCCTCACGTACTTCCCTTCTGTCTCTGTTTATGTGTGTTTACACAGCATGCTGTCCTGTCTGTTTCCATAAGGGCTTTGCCTCCCCCCCCCTCTCTTTCCCCGCCACAGCTGAATGAAAAACCTTTCACCCTTCTCTAGTTCCTTGCCTCTTGATCTCAGGGCAGACATCAAGCTTCATGAGCCCTCTACAAAACAGAGCTCCTTTATCCTCGTTCCACAAAGCAGAAGAGGAAGCTGAGGTGAAATGGCAGTGTGTGCCACAAGGATCAGCTAAGGAGTCAGCGGAGCTGGAATCAAACCCAATTCTCACAGCTCAGTCCTGACTTATATACAGTTGTGAGATATAGTCTCTCATTTGCTGTGCTCTTGGCCCCTGTAGCGGGAAATACCTGTCAGCCAAATAATTTTGAGAGGTATAGCTGTTAAGATGCTATTTTCTCTCCTCTTTGTATAAACCAATTTCCACCTCTTTCCAGGTCTCTCGAATGCTGTATGGATTTCTGATTAAAATGAACAATTCCTGGTTTCAGTCCATCATTAAACCAGACATAAAAGGAATTCTGGGTAAGAGCAACATAGCATAGGGAAGAAGAACAAGGGGATGGGTTTGACCCCATATGTTACCTGGCAGCTTTCTAAAGCTCCATACTAGCATTGTTTGCTTCTGGCCATCTCCCCGTCAATCCCATGTCTCTGACTGTTCCAGGTGATGTTCCCCAACATTACGTCGCTGTTTCCAGCCCTGTGAACACTACCTACCTTGTACAGTATGTCCTGGCCAACCTTACAGGCACTGTTGTTAACCTCACCAAGGAAGAGTGCCTGAACCCTGAAAAAACACCCAGCAGTGAGAAAGAAGTATGTATTCATTAGAGTGGGGTGATAGGTAAGGACAGATCTGCTGTCCAATTTGCTGATTTCTGCTTTTGAGGAAAGCTGGTTAGGATTGCTTTTTATTGCTCATAATAACACATGGGAGAACTGGGAAACTCCTCCAACAAGGAGGCATCTCTTAATGCCCAAGGGCAGGGGAGGAGTGGGCAAAAGGATCCCTTTACAGTGACAACAGTCAGTAAAGCCCCTCTCTCTCTCTCCAAAGACAGGTAAGGTCCCAGAACAGGGGGTGGTCTGGTTATTTGCTAGTGGCTGTTTGCTGTATCTTACTCTCCTGTTTTGTTTGCAGCTGTATGAATATGCCTGGGTGCAGGGTTCTCTGGAGCCAAACTCAACATCACGAGTCCCTTACTGTGTTAGGTCAACTGTTCACCTAAGCAAAGCACTCTCTCCTGCCTTTGAGCTGAGGCAATGGGGATCTACAGAGTACTCCACATGGACAGAGAGTCGGTGGAAAGAGATCCATGCCCGAATATTTCTGGTAGCCAGCAAGGAGCTAGAGGTGAGTTTGTACATGTCTGAAAAAGAAAGTAGAGAAAGAAGTGTGGCTAGCTTTGAATAACATCTCCTGACAGCTGGAGAAACAGTTCAGAGTTTGTTACAAGATCTTGTGCCATCATCCTGCGTGAGCTCCCTAGTTAAGAGCAGCCAGGCTTTGATCCTTGAAAACAAGGTAACCAAGAATGCATCACTGGTGATAACGCTACCACCTCCAGCCATTTGTGGGTTAATAATATAGTCGCTGGAGCTGAGACAGTGCAGAATAATCAAGAGTCCCATGAGCAGGCTGAGCTCTGTGAATAAAAGATAGAAGTGACAGGAGTCTTAACCCCTTCCCCAAGCGCAGGGAGCCAAGCCTATGAGTCTGACTGTTAAGGTGTTTTGTCTGATGTGCAACCCGGATCTTCCTTCCTGCAGTTCAAATCCCCTCTCAACCGTGCAGAAATAACTTTTGCACAAACCTTCACAAATGAAAGCTTCTGTTGGTTCAGTGTCTCAGATTCTACGTACTCCTTAGCTGGGTGTGATGTGGCTTAAGTGCCAGCAGAATAGGGGTTAAGTGTACAGTCACTTTGGGACTCTCTGCCTCTCTTGATGCCCTCTGGTTGGCTGTTAATGATGTCATACCCTGTCAGGACAGACTCAGGAGTGCACAGTGCTGTTGTCATCACGTGCTAGCAGTAAGCCACCCAAAGGCCATGCAAGCCCAGGCAATTGTTGCATCTCTCAGATAGTTAGTTGAAATCTGAGCGATTTATTTGTGTGGCGCTGGGCCTTTTTAACACTGTCAGGCAAGCACAATGCCCTGCCTGTGTCTGTCGGCCTGTTACAGCCCAGTAGATACTGGTGCCCTGGAGAGGCACAGTTTAAGCCCAGCCATCCCTGAAGTGTTGACCCAATAGAAAATGTACTGAGAGAGTTGTAGCGGCACATGAGTGTCTGGCTGCTGTATGGGTACTGTTCTGAGATATCCAGGGGAGACTGGGGATGGCAGTCCTAGCATGCAAGGAGAAGGGTTGACAGGCCTTAGATTGGTCTGGAACTTAGGCTTCAGAAAGGTGCTGAGCAGGAGGTAACCTCAGCTATGCAAAGGCTATTGGCAGATGTTGATTCTGCCAGCAACTGTGCTTGTTGAAGGCATTTACAGTCCTCGCCGGAGGAGATGACAGTTCATGCAGGAGTAGCCAAAGTGTCACATTAAATGCTTGCTAAAAATCCTTGCAAACTGCGTTGACCACTCTGAAATGCAATACGTTATTTATCTGTGATACAACTTTCTTACCTTTTTCTCTTAAAGATCAGTTTGTGTGCTCTGTTGATAACTACAAAAGCTGGCCTGCTCTGGCAGTTGCTTTTGTCTAAGGCTGGAAGGTTCTCGGAGTATCTTTTTATTTCAATGTACATAGTGCCCCAGTAGTGAGCTGCTCTGTGTAGCTTTCTCTCAGAGACCCCCATTTGATGCAAATTGTGAGGTGCTGCAGGTCTGTGTTTGTAACAACAATGCTAAGTGTTTCTCATCCCTTCCTAGATAATCACTTTGGTTGTGGGCATTGCCATTCTGATCTTCTCTCTCATCGCCACATATTTTATCAATGCCAAAGCAGATGTACTTTTTAGCATCCCACGGGACCCTGGGGCTGTGGCTTACTGAAGATGCTCTCGGGGCTTGAGAAGTCTTAGCCCTTGGATTACAATTGTCAAAGATAAAACTACACTGGAGTGCCCCTCTCTCTGGATAGGGATGCAAATGTTTCTCTCCAGAGCTTCCCTGCTCGGGTTCTGGGGACTGAGCCCTAAAACTTAAGAGACTTTCCCAGAAAACCACGCCGACCAAGCCCTAAAGAAACTGTGACTGAGAAGTTCCCAAAACCTTTCTTTTTAATTTGTCTTTACTTCTGAGCAACTTGAGAGGATTGGTCCTGAATGCCACTGAGACGACAATGTGATGGATGTGTTCCCTAACTGAAGGCAAGGGTAAAGGTATTTTCTCTGGGATGTATGTGGACCAGCAGATTTCCATGGTGTCTGACAGCACAGGTTGCCTGTTTAATGTCCAACAGTTGCTGTGAGTCTGTGTATACTACAATGCAGGGAGGGCAAAATGTGTTTAACAGATGATTAGGTGTAAAATGTCCTTTTTCAATGGTGCAATATTTTCTGGGTTTCGTATATATATAAATAGTTCCGTTTAATTAAAAAAAAAAAACAAACTCCACTTACAAATTAACCCATTGCCTGTTTTGTCTTAGTTGCTGCCAAAAGGACCAAAAACACTGAGTATTGCAATATGTTTTGGTCTTGGGAGAAAGAGAGTTTGTCTGATTTGGTTTTTGACTCTTATTGAAACTTTTAATTCTTTCTACAGCTGGACAAAAGAAAGACATTGTGCCCTCACACAGGACAGGGAATTAACTAGCTGTTGTTTAGACTGTAAGCTCTCCAAGGCAGGGATGGCTGATCACTCCAAACAGCGCTTTGTACAATGGTACCTTGATCTCGGTCATTCCCTAGGCACTGGTATAATAAACATGTTTTTTAATGAGCATGCTCACACGCTTTGTTTCGTTCGATGCTATTGCTTAGTGTCCAGCAAGACTGGGCTCTCAGCGCTAGCAGTTGTGACTGACCAGGCACTTGGATATTCCTGGTTGTTCCTTTTGTATGAAAATTCACTTGTTCTTCAGCAATCGTGATTTAAAGTTGCAATAGTGCTGTTGTCCAAAGCGAGGAGCTCAAAAATAGGTAGAGAGGATTAATTCCAGAAATCAGAGCTGACTAGCACTAAAGCAGACATCACTTTCCCTTCCCTAGAGGACAGCGAGGGCTTATTGTTTTTAAGTCTTTTCTCAATGAGGCATACACTCTGGAGTTTTAAAGTAATTCAGACCTTGTACTTTCAGTGCTACCCTGAGGGAGACTTTTTCCACTTGCTAATGCATCCTGCTATCAGGAAACTGCTCCTGATACTTGGTGGAATGTTTCTGTGCCTGATTTCTTTTAGTTTCTCCTAGCAATGCTGAAGAAACTCATATCTCAATTTACATGGAGATATCTTGTCTTTACAATAAGGATTTTCATAGCCTCTAACTCCTGATCTTTGGACTCATTCCAACTTTGTCAGAACAAAATCAGTTCCTCAGAATTATGCAAGTAAGCTATTTCTGTGCATGAACGTATTTGGGGTGAGACGGAGGACCTCAAGACAGCATGTGGTCTGGCAGAGAATTTTGCAGAATGTGTTTTTCCTTCCCTAAGGTAAGTTCATTCTGGTTTTGTACATATCAAAATGCAAATGCTTAATTCAAGGTGGAGCAGTGCTGTGTGGAGAGATGTTGGGATCGGTGATGGCTAATCAGCAAATTGGGTCAATATACACAGGGTTCTTGATAATTTTCAAATTAAAAATGCGTCTGTTCTTCCCATACTGCTCACTCTCCTGTCTTTCAAATCTAGATTCTGTGCTCAGGTTTGGGCTTTTTTAATTTTTTCCTTTTTCTTTCCCTGAAGGTTTCTGGTTGGAATTTTTTTCCCTCCTTGTTTTCCCCATACAAACAGGAATAAACCCTTTTACCGCTCCCAGCCCCATTTTCCACTCCCAGCTTTTTGTTCAGAGCTGCTCTCTGGCGAGGCAAACAAACAGCTGCCTCCGTTGTCTGTGCCTACGCCGCTCCTTGGATGGCCAACAGGTCTCCCCTGTGGACAGTGCAATGAGCAACCCTCCTATCAGTGGCTGACAAAAGGAGGGGAGAAGCAAGGGGGCTAGGCTGGCAGGCACTGCAGCAGAGACACATTTTCCCTCCTGCTGCCAATGCTGGAGAACACCGCAAGTCTTCGCTTGACTGTCAGCCCAAAATTTACCCTGAGCTGGAGGTTTGCGTGTCCCTCAAACTCTCTTGGTGCCAGCAGTGTCGCTCGCTGCTCAGAGGGGTAAAAGGAAGGCAGTAGCCATCGGTGTTTCCAGCCCTCCTCATTTTGTTTTGCCATGGTCAGTAAATTTGTTTTGCTCAGCTGGCTTTTGATGACAAGGCTTGCGCCGTGCAGATCTGAGCCTTCCCTCCTCTGGGGAATTGGGCCTGACTGTTGGATGAAAGGGGGTGGGGAAGAAATAGTCAGGATTGCAGGATTCATCTGGGAAGTAAATAAGCTACGAGAGTGAATCCTATTCCCTAGGTTTCTCTTCCCTGTCCAGCCCCAGACTGGCTGCAGCTGCTTCCCTTCCCCTCACAGAGAGAGAATCTCACCGGTGACACGGACCCCGCTACTGCCCTGTTTCACAGGGGTGAGGGGATGCTCTTGAGATCTTGAGGTGAATGGTATTTGAAATACAAAGGTGTTTTGTTAAAGTAAAGCCAATGTTGGTGAAAGCTGCTTTTTGTGACGTGGAGAATGAAGTCTCATTTTACACAGAAACAAGACCATGCAAAAAGGTCTTACATTCACTCGCATCCCCCTCCAGATCATAAACAGGGCAAGAGATGGGAGGAATCGGGATTTCTGTGACCTATTCAGTCATTTAGTCTCACTCCTGATCTTCAAACAAAGAGCTGACAGTGGATTTGGGAGTGCTCATTCACCTCTGCTGGGACCAGGGAAGTCTTTGCTGCTTTTGTGTACAACTGCTCAATCGCTGCCCTTTAGGGAATTGCTGTCTGCTGCTTTAAGCCTGGAGTTAGTGTCTTAGCCCTGGAAAGGCTCACTCTTAAGCCATCCTTTCCATACCTTCAGAGTACAGTTATCTGCAGTAGATACATGCCCCCAGTTCAAAAATGAAACAGGCTTGACCCCTTGTGTGTCTTCCTTCATAATGTACAGTAGCTGCCTTTGGTTTGGGGCTGAGTTGTATCTCTAGTTCCTCCTTGCTATCCTGGTATAACAGCAGCTGTCCTCAGCTGCGCAAACCTTAAAGTTGATAACTCCCCTGATACACTTTCCTCCATCACTCCTGACATTATGTGCATTAATTAGAGCATCCCTAATGCTAATAAGCAATGGGGAATAAGTGCCTTCTCAGTACATTAATGTGCAAAATAGTTTGAGTATCGGCATACATGTAGATTTACTTTTATCTTTGCGATAGAAGCAAAATTATTGAGTTCTGAGGAACAACTGTGTGTATTTTGAAGTGTGCTGGCTAAATAAGGTAGAGTCTAGGTTGTGCTGGGTGACAGTGCAAAGCTGGTGGTACGGCCTTCTTTGAGGTAGGCTGACGTGAATGAGAATTCCCCCATTCAAAGCCCATTTGCTTTGATAATTAGAAAAGTTTGCATGGGAAATAATGCAAAACATATGGAAAGCAAACAACTTTCCTGCTCTGTGTCTGGTTGTCTTTGAAGCAGCAGCTCACAGCAGAGTACCCCTGGCTGCCTCTTGGTCTAGGGAAGGGATGCAGCAAGCACCACTTGCATCTGTCGTAGCTGGTCCTGGAGGACATAGTCCAGCTGAGAAACAATTCACAGGAATGCTCTAGAGATACATAGCTGTTTTCTGGCTTTGACAGATTTCTCCTGGCAAACCTTGCTGCATTGATTTAAGATACTCTCCCAGCTGACGAAGGTTACCATCTCTCTAGCACAGTCAGCAGAGGAGACAAAAGCTCAGTCCATTTCAGTTCAGCATCACAATCAAGTTCAGGTACTGGGAAAATGATCTTTTCTGAGTCTTAAGACTTTGGCTTGTTGCTCCAAAGCATGAGTACTTGAATTTCTTCCAGAACTACTACATTTTGAGGTTGTTTACATCATTCCTGGTCTAACCAGTTTTTCCTGACACTTATAGATGCTGGACAGCTTTGAGTTCTGTCCAAGCACTTGGCATCTTTGGCATCTTTTAGGCAATGAGTTCAGCAGGTCAGTTATTCTGCCGGTTTAGTGGGACGGGGGTTCTGCAAGCTTTGTCCCCTGCTCAATGCTTGACCAAAGAAAGAGGGAAGAAAGGAGAAAGTGGCTGAGCAGCCAAGGGTAGATTCACCCTTAAGAGATGGAGCCTGGAAGAAGCAAGTTCTGCAGCCCTCTGCCAGGGGAAAAAGAAGTGATGCAACTTCTAGCAAGTCTTGCTGAACTGCTCCTCAAAATAAACAGGCCGTTGACGCCAGCGAAGGCTTGGGCAGCTGCTCCCAGGGGCAGTTGCCTGTCTGCACCTTGCACTGTGTTTTGCTCTTGAAGGTAAAGGCTGCAGCTCTGAGCCTATTCCCATCTCCTCCCCACACCCAGCTGCAGTGAGTCTGGTGCTGGCAGGACAGCCCTGGAGAAGATCAACCGGACACTGGAACCGCCTTTCCTGTTGTACTTGGAGAGAAGTAATTCACTACCTGCTGCTGGCTCTTTTGGCTACAAGGTGCCAAGCCAGGAGTAGAAACCCAGGGATCTCTCTGCCTCACTTTTCTCCTGACTGTCAGTGACTGTCCTCCAAAATTAGCTTCATGCCTGTACCTTGCCTTGCATGGATCCATGAGAAGTCCTGTCCTTACTGGTAACCCTGCAGACTATCCATGGCACTCTCACCCATGCCTCTGGTACTGAGATAGTGCTTGAATTACCCCAAACCACCTCCAGCCTATATCAAATCCCAGACTAGGTTTTTTGGGCAGCACCTGACTCCTTGCTGAGGAGGGCAGCTGGCACATGCTCTCTCTGCTGTAGAGCCCCCAGGCATCTTGCTGAGACACACACTCCCCCCTTCATGCACACACATAATTTGCAAGCATCAGTTTCCTCTCCTCTCTCCCCACGCAACTCTACCAGGGATTTCTGCACAAAAAGAAGATGCCACTGACTCTCTTGACCTCTGAACTCAGCTGCCTCCCAGGAGGCAGAGGGCTGGGGCTGAGCCCAGAGAGGAGGGTTTGCAGCTGCCCTTGTGCCCTGAGGGGGGAGGCATATGGGGGTGACAGTCAATGAGACAAGGAGAAAGGAGAGGAAATGTGTGTTTTCTTAGCACCCGGCCTTCCAGCTCCTGGGAACTTTATGGCTCTGGAATATTAAGAGGCAGGAAAGTTAATTAATACCCAGAACAAAGCCAGGGCTGTTTGGCTTCTGGGAGAAGGAAGCAGTGGAGACGGGAAGAAAAAATTGGTGTCTTAAATAAGTTGTTTTCCACCTTCTGTCAGCAGCTAAAATAGAGATGAAGCCCACTGTGGGGGTAAAAGGATTGATTTTTGGAGACCAAAGAAAGAGGCTTTCTGACAAAGGGCAGGAGAGTTTGTTGGGTGAGCTATAGGAATAGCTACCATTGCCTTATTCAGGCTGGGGACAGAGTTTGGGACATCGCAGAGCAGTATTAGTAGTGCCATGCTCTCTGTCACTTCTCTAAGAAGTCGCTCTTTCTCTTACTTGAGATGACACTTCTGCTCCCCATGTAGCATCCTTTCCTCACCAGTCTTCCCAGCTTCTGTTGCCTCTCCTGTTCCCAGCACTGGAACCCAGCAGCAGTGGCTGCAGCTTGCTGGAGTCGAGCTGTCCCACAGATGGCCTTGACAGGACTGTCGTTCATCCCCTTCACTTCTCCCTGACAGTCAGTATTGC